ACATAACATTATTGCGCACATACACTTTGCACACATGACATTATTTCGCACATACACTTTGCACACATAATATTATTGCGCACATGAAAATAAGAAAATCATATTAGCACATTGCACACATGACATTATTGCGCACATACACATTGCACACATAATATTATTCAGCACATAAAATAAAAAAATCATATTAACACATTGTACACATAACGTTATTACACACATACGCTTTGCACACATAACATTATTGCGCACATACATTTTGCACACATGACATTATTGCGCACACACACATTGCACACATGATATTATTACGCATATACGCATTGCACACATGACTTTATTGCGCACACACACACATTGCACACATGGCCGTATTGCACACATAAAATAAAAAAATTATATTAACACATTGCACACATAACGTTATTGCGCACATATATTCATCCCAAGTTTTATAAGGGGAACAGAAAAGTCAAAATAATGTCATTTTGATGTCACATTGACCAAATTTACTGATTTTTTATCACGATTGAAATCTTTTGATCTTAGACGACTTAAAACAGACTTTACGCTGACTCCTTTTATTATTATATCTTTTTGATTTTTAGAAAATGTGGTATCCCAGACAAAATGCATGTATCAAATCGGGACAAATGACGTCTTAAAGGCGTCATTAAGATATCTTCAAGACGTCATATGATATGACGTCTTTAAGACGTTTTAAGGTTGGTTTATAATAGCCGTAACCGTTGATTTAAGCCGTAATCTTTAAGAAATTGAAGGCCATTATATAGGAAGAAGTCTTCGCGAATGTTCGCAGACATATAGCAAAGGGCTTATTGTAAGATATATATTTCTTCTTTTAATTATAGTTTTGTTTCATTTATTAACGGCAGAGAAAAAATGTTTCTCGTAACGTAACTATATACATTAGTGATTATAGATATCGCTTATTTTAGCTCGTTGTAGTATCTCATAATAATACACGTGCTACAATGGAAGAAGTACCGGGTAAACATGATGGTACGTTCATATACGTATACGATGGACATGTTTATCATAGCGATAAACGATGCAATGGCATCTATCGATGTTCATCGCGGCGAAGTCTAGATTGCTACGGGGTATTGAAACGAAATCAGGACGAGACGTACACATTAAAAACGTCGCACAATCATCCACCGAACGAGACAACGTTACAAGAGGTGGAAATGAAGCAGGAAATGCTGCGAATTTGCCGAGAGACAATAATGAAACCAAAAGATATATTCGACATGGTATGCCGACGGTAAGTCAAAGTATTAAAATATTTTTTATTTATACAAGATAAATGTGTAAAATATGTAAAAATAGTTGTTAACGGTAAGATTTATGTAGAAAGTAATTCGATTACTTGTTTTTCATGTTACAAAATTTATATTCTATATTATTTAATTACAATATTGTCCGAGAGACAGTTATATAGTTATCGTCTGAAAGTTTGAAAGAGCACGAAGAAAGCGATCTTAAGATAAGTCTCGATAAACAAAGTCGTTATGTGAGAATACGACGTGTTCTCAATGTTTTTCTGTGTATATTTCGTTTGTTTGGTACACATTTTTTGCCTGCGTTTGCTTATTCCCATTGGGGGCTATTGGGAAAATAAAATCTATATATAATACACGTTTTTTTTACGTGTATTATAGATTTTAATTTCCCAATGGGAATAAATAAGCGCAGACTTTGTAAAAGTGTATTTTAATTATTTGTATTGACACGTACTATACGTATAATAGGAGCTGCACATATAAAATTTTAAATAATTATATAATAGCTTTAAAATGTTTAATTAATCTAAATAAATATATATTTATCTTTCCCGTTTTAATTAATCAGTCAAATAAAAGAATTTGAAAAGAAAACAAACAAATATTAAGCAATTTTAATAATATTCACATTATTAGATTAAAAATGTCAAACCTTTTAACTTGTTGTTAGATAATTTTGTTTACAATGCTTCTTACAGAAATCCAGTGGCTGCGAAAAATTTAACTTACCGTACTATGAGAAGTTTTCTGTACAGAGAACAAGTACGTCACAGACCGGAGATACCACAGACTATTGTCCGTCTTGAAGTAGCATTGATGAATTATCAGCCCGCCGAACACATTTATAAAGGCACAGTACTATCGGATAATGGCTATAGAGCAGTGCTATTTACAACTGATACCCTACTAAACGCGCTAGCAACATCCACAGAAATATTCATGGACGGTACATTTTCGGTAAGCAACATTCAAGATTTAAATGAAAGCTACAAGAACAAAGATTGTGAGCAAAAAAGTTTCAAAATATATACCTATCCTTATATTAATAATAGTTAATCCTAAATATCTATCCTTAATATCCTTATAAACATTACTTGAAGAAATTTATCCTTTTGAACAGGTCGTTCCCAGAGTGCCATCCTTCGCGCAATTATATACCATTCATATTCGATATATGGACACGGTATGTTGTGCGTGCGGGCGTGTGTATGTGTGTGTGTGTGCGTGTGCGTGCGCGTGCGTGCGTGCATGTGTGTTAGATTAATTTAATAGCTTTTGATCTTATAAATGTTGATTAGACGTTTTTATGCTATATGTATTTTTTTCCTTTTATCCACTAGGGTATACCGGTCCTTTTTATATTGTGTCAGAAGCGCACCGTCGATGTGTATAATGCGATTTGGCGAAGGGTAAAGGAACTGCGTCCGGATGCACTGCAAGGAGTGCAGTCAGTTATGAGTGATTACGAACGTGCGGCAATGACAGTTGCAAGAGAGACTTTTCCAGAAGCACGTATAACTGGTTGTTGGTTTCATTTTAATCAGGTACGTATGCAAACGACAAAAACGAATATTTTTGTAATTTTTATAAATCTTTTTTTTGTTACGTATAACTCATCTGCTTATTTTAAGTATGATTTAATATTATATTTAATATTATATTTTATGCAGGCCGTATTAAGACGTTGGAAAGCATTGGGTCTAATGGTAGCCCCTAGAAAGGTTCTTGGTTTTACCATGGCCTTGCCATTGGCACCGGTCAATGCATTTGAGGAAGGATTGCGAATAATACAAGAAGAGGCTGATCTGATATCGACAGAGTATCCTGCTGTATTGCAGTTTACTGTTTATTAAGGCGTGTTTGGCTTCCGTTGAAAGAAAAAGTTTCCGTTTTTGGTACGCCTATACGGACAAACAACTTCGTGGAAAGTTTCCATTACGTACTTTTTCATAGATTTGGTGGAATACATCCTAATATTTGGCATTTTGTTCGTATGTACTGCTTACTATCGCAACAACTTGTAAATGTTCTGCACATTGTATAAAAGTGTTCCTGCAATATAATCTTTTCACTTTTTACAGATGATTTAGGCGAATTGCTTCTCGATCAAGAGATAAATATTGGGAGATTAGCGGAGGGACGTAGCGTAAAGAGAGTACGCGTCCGACATAATGTACGGCGCGACAAGCGTATTGCGGAAGCACAAGCCTCTTTGAGCTCAGGAAGGTAATTAATATCTACTTTAAAGACAATTTTATGATAGAGATATATATTACGAGTATGTATAATTTTTAGTATTTTTTTGCAATATTTGAGCTTTTTTTAAAAAAATATAAATTACAATTTAATTATCGAAATAACTGCCGTTATTTGCAATGATTTTCTTCCAACTTTCGGGAAACTGGTAGATTCCGACGCGATATAAGTGTATGCGTTTGAAGGCAATGAAGTTATTGATGAATATTTGGATGTCAAGACATATCTTGGAACTATTGTCCAGCCGACGAATGTTGCATCGACGTGAACAGATGGTAATCGGAAGGGACCAAGTTTGGTGAATAAACCACGTGAGATAGGACGTCCCAGCTCAAGTTTGAAATGGCCCTCTGAGTCGGAGCAAGCAACGTGTGGCCGAACGTTGTCATGCACCAGACTTGGCCCCTTTCGATTACCACCTGTTCAGGTCGATGTAACATTCGTTGGCTGGACAACACTTCCAAGATATGTTCGACATTCAAAAATTCATTAATGACTTTATTGCCTTCAAACCGAGAAACTTCTATCGCGACAGAATCCGTCAGTTTCCCAGTGTGTGCGTGTGCGTGCGTGCGTGTGCGTTTGCGTTTGCGTGTGCGTGCGTGTGAGTGTGCGTGCGTGTGCGTGTGCGTGTGCGTGCGTGTGCGTGTGCGTATGCGTATGCGTGTGCGTGTGCGTGTGCGTGTGTTTATATTTTTACTTTTAGAATTGTGCTATATTATTTTTTTTATAGTACGTGTAGTAATATATTACATTACCGTAACTTTTTTATATGTTTATATTTTTTATTACTGCAGGCTTTCGCTGAGAGAATTTCTGCAAACACTTAGCAACGTATCGCAAATGCCCGAGGAGAGCTTTGGTTTGTCTTAAAATTTATGCTATATACCTAATATGTGTTTCGTAACATATATTTTGTAGAAAAGGGAAAAGAAATATATTTTTATTGCAGATTTGCAAGCTCCAGACAGTCTAGACGACACCCTAGGATATCAAGAAACAATAGATAGCAATCTGTTAGACACGCATACAGGTATATAATATTTTAAAATTACCATTTTTACCTATCAATCTTCCTTCTAAAGTGCAGTTTACACTTTCGTTCTATTTCTGACGTGTTATAAAGGCAATTATGTTCCATCGTTGTTTTAACATTAAAAAAATATTTTTGCAAAGCCCTGCATGTGCGTGTAATCTAATTTAATTTTATTTATTTCTTATTGAGTTCTTTCTTTCTTATTAATGTGTATATCATCTAATGTCTCAGTTTCTATTAATCTTTCTATTCAATTTCAGCAGCACCGATTATCGACGAATCGGAGCCGGATTCAGAACCACTATTGATGGACAATATAAGGACGAACAAGGACTCACCTCAACGTAGTCGCGGGAGACTACGTCTTTGCAGACGTGGTTGCAATCTGCAGAGAGGTAGGATAATTTGTATCTTTATATATAGTATAAATATTTTTACAAAGCCCTGCATGCGCGTATAATCTAATTTAATTTTATTTATTCCTTATTGAGTTCTTTCTTTCTTATTAATGTGTATATCATCTAATGTCTCAGTTTTTATTAATCTTTCTATTCAATTTCAGCAGCACCGATTATCAACGAATCGGAGCCGGATTCAGAATCACTATTGATGGGCAATATAAGAACGAACGAGAACTCACCTCAACGTAGTCGCGGGAGACTACGTCTTCGCAGACGCGGTTGCAATCTGCAGAGAGGTAGGATAATTTGTATCTTTATATATAGTATAAATACAGCCACACACAGACAAAATTATTAAGCCCCCTTCTTCTTCTGAATATCTTGAAACTGAATAAGAGTAAACTTTTTATTGTTTTCATCTTTATTGATCTCATGAATAGTTCAAACAATTAAGGTACAGTTTATTATCTTTTTTATGGAAACAGCAATATTATTCAGAAAACTGTTCACCTCGTATTTCGACTTTGATTAATACAGACGCAATTATTTCCATTTTACAAGCAAGTGCTAGACTTTTTTTGTCTGTAGGCAGTGAACAGACACAAAAGGTGTAGCAATTGTTTGTGAAATGGAAATAATTGCGTCTGTATTAATCAAAGTCGAAATACGAAGTAAATAGTTTTCTGAGTAATATTGCTGTTTCCCTAAAATGATATGTAATAGACTTTATGTCTCAACTGTTTGAACAATTTACAAGATCAATAAGGATGAAAACAACACGTAAACAAAAAACTCATTCGTTCCAAGATATTCAGAAGAAACAAAAGATGCCCAATAATTTTGTCTCTATGCCTATGCATATGTATCTTATAAATGTATGTATATGTATAGATATCGTATGATATATATACAGGGTTTTTGTAGAGTCTGTTGCCACTCCTATATTTCGGAATGGAACCCCTTATATTGTAGTATATCATTTGAAAGGACATAAAAAAAGAAAATTT